TCCAAGACCACATCTGTCAGTTCAGGCAGGTAATCCAATGGGCAGCAAGGTGGGTGATACCCCTGCAGAATCCCTAATCTGTTTTGAGCACACAAAGAACAAGTGCTAAAAACCTACACTTGACTGGACAGGAAGCCTATAGACCATGGCCACCCCCTCTCCCAGCCCTAAAGTTGATGTTGGTGCTGTGCCAAGTAGCCAGGGAAGGTACAGCTGAGATAGAGTAACCCCTCCCACTTCAACCATCTCAGTGATACAAGCCAGGTCAGCCCTCTCATCCACAATCAAGATGTGGATGAATGAGGTATTCTGGGCCAACCTGGCATTCAGCACCAAACCTGAGGGCAGGCTGGTAAGGCTGCCAGGAATCATCCAGTTGGGGGATAGCTGTGAGGTATCTAGCCCCTCTTCTCAGTCGGCTTGTTGATCCCCCAATGCCATACCTCCCTCTACCTGTAACCATAGTAGTGGGGACACCCTTGTGCTCCCCAGGTTACCCAGACATATAATTAAAATGGATATAATAAAAATAAACTGGCTGCTGCACTTCTAAGCTGATCAATAGCTTGCTGTGAGACTGTCCTCCTCCCAGGCTGACTCACAGCAGTCCCAAAATAGTCACCAAACAGACACCAGATGGACAGTGTGCTTTTGCACCATCCTTTGGCTGATGCCTTGGTCTTCGCCCCTGAAGTGGCTGCTGTTGGTGACAGCCCCACCTCCGGAGCGCAGCTGCTGCTCCACCAGCCAGGGACATGTGGCCACTCCACATAGCAGGCATGCAGGGCAGGAAAGCAATCCCGTCTCAATTCTATTGATCTTAGACTATGAAAAACAGGACTAGCTTTCTAATGACCCCTACCTCTTGCACTTTTACTTCAGTTGTGGAGCATACATGCAAAAAAACAGTCACATTCCATCAATAAATTAACTGTGAAGATCTCTCTGTATGTGTTATTATGAACTACATTTCAAGCTACGTTGCATTAGAAAATACACTAATTGGAGGTTCCCAATTCTTTGTAATTTCCAGTCTTGCTTCCTTCTGTTGCTCTTGCCCTTTGTTAACAGCTATAGGAAATTTGGTGAGTGAATGCTAGCTCTTTCTCCACAAAGTGCTGTTTGTGCTGGAATAGTCAGAAACAATAATATGCTGTCCAAAAAAACTAGATTCCTGTTGATCCAATTTCCATATACTTACCCCAAATTATAGGAAAAATGCTGCATGTTTGTTTATTGTTTTGTTTATTTATTGTATTTTTATGCTGCCCCATAGCCCAGGGGCTCTCTGAGTAGCTTACAAAAAAAGAAAAAAAAACAACATAATTCTAATAAAATAAAACAATAACATCTAAAACAGCATAACATCAACTACTATAAGGTGTGAAACAGGAGGATAATATCAAATCAAATAAGACCATAGCTCATAGGGTTTTTTTTATTTAGCAGATACTAAATAAAAAATGTCTTTACCTGGTGATGAAAACAGAATAACAAGGGTGCCAATTTCAATGATGAAGCTCAGTAACAGAGAAGGCCCTTTTTCTTGCCGATTCCCCCCTCACATCATTGGGTGGGGGGTCATGAAGGAGGGCCTCTTCTGAAGATCTAAGTTGTCTGGTAGGGATATATGGAAACAGGTGTTCCTTTAGAGATCCCAGTCCCAAGCCGTTTAGGGCTTTGCATGTTAGTGTAAGCACTATGAATTGGGCCTGGGCATAACAGGCAGCCAGTGCAGTTGGCAGCAGACTGATGTGATATGTTTTCTAGGACTGCTTCTTATTAGTAACCACGCTGCTCTGTTTCAGATTAGTTGAAGTGCCCAGACGTCTCTTCAAAAGCAGCCCCACACAGAGTGCAGTACAATTATCCAGGCAAGCAAGGCTATGCTTGACCAAGTAGAAATGTAGCTGGAAAATCAGCCTGAGCTGATAGAAGGGGCTCCTGGCCACTGAGGCCATCTGCAAAACAAGTTAGAGGTCAGGGTCCAGGAACACCCCCAAGCTACAAACTTTATCCTTTAAGGGGAGTATAGTTCAGGATAGGTTGAAAAATTCCCAGTTGATGGACTGCCCAGCAGCCATACCTCCATTTTGTCTGGATTGAGTTTCAGCTTATTGACTCTCATCCAGTCCATTACTGGATGAGAAGACAGTGGCTACAACAAGAAAAGGGATGAAAAGGTTGGTGACGTTATACTCCGCAAGAACAGTATTTTCAGGCTGGGCCCAGATTTCCGTGAGATGTATGCAACTAAGCCAGTGGAGGCAGAGTTCTCTACTTCTTCTTCCCAGTAGCAGCTTCGCTGACCCCCTGAAAATGGTACATAGACAGTCAAGGGTCATACTGAATGGAATGATCACTGAGCTGTGTGGTAGGGGGAGTGGAGGTCCTTGTTTATTGTTTAATAGCAAGTAAGGTTGTTTAGACTGCCTACAGAATTCAACTATTGGTAAGGTTTTTAAATTATGAGTACAGAATGTATAGAATGATACAATAGCATTTCAAAAATAGTGGAAATAAGCTTGTGTGAAGGAAAGAAAAGGTGTAATAAATAAGAGTGCTTGCTTCTAAGCTACTGTTGCTTTTGTCTTATTTTTGTGAAGCTAGAGGGGAAAAGAAACAGCTTATAATAAATGTTTATAACACACAAATACGGATGTAACAAGTGCCATTGCAATAGCATGTGGTTTGTTCTGGGATAACAATGCATCTCTTAGAGGTACCTTCATCCTTTGCCAGTGGTGTAATCTATCTCCATGCCTATGTAATAGTAGGGCCCTTTTGTAGCTTCCTTGGGGGAAATGGGTTTACTACAAATACTTGAGATTTAAAAAAAAAACTGTGGGAATTAAATACTTCAGCAATATAAGGGAATGTACCACCTCAGAATTAAGGGAAAAATGAAAAAGAGGACAGAGAAGAAGCAACTAAATGGGCAAGGCATTAGTGCTGGGACTTGCGTCACAGCTCAGTTACAGCATAGCCTGTTGAAGGGATGTAACCATGATCCAGACAATGCTCATTACAGTATGCTTTGCAGAAGGGTAATTGACATTTCACAGCATGCAAATGAGAATACTGACTTATTAGAAAAGCTGACATTTTCCATGAACAGTTGTGCAAGCTATATGCATTAACAGAATCTAAATTGATCCCCTAAATTTGTAACCCATAATGGCTGCTATTAAACATTTTATGTGGATGCACGCAAACTAATTTCAGCAGGATTTGCTTTTCTGAGACACTTTTAGTGAATTGAAGAAATTGCTTTTATTTATTAAATTACTAAATTTATTTATACATGTATTATAGGCCGCAAGGCCTTCCTAGGCAACTTACAATATGTAAAACATACTAACAGAGTAAAACACATTAAAACCAATTAAAACATAACAAATTAAAACATGTAAAGGTAAAGGTAAGGGTTTCCCCATGACATTAAAGTCCAGTCATGCCTGACTCTAGGGGGTGCTGCTCATCTCCGTTTCCTAGCGTTTGTCCGCAGACTAAACACCAAAGTGCATGGAATGCTGTTACCTTCCCACCAAAGCGGTAGCTTTTTATCTATTGCATTTGTATGCTTTCGAACTGCAAGGTTGGCAGGAGCTGGGATGGAGCAACGGGAACTCACCCCGTTGTGCAGATTCGAGCCGGTGACCTTTCGATCAGCCAGCCCAGCAGCACAGCAGTTTAAATCACTACTAGAAAAGCAATTAAAAAGGGCCACAGCATTCAGGCTAAATGTTAAAAAAGTTCCTAAAAAGGTATGTCTTCACCTGGCACCAAAAGGAAAATAAAGATTGCGCCAGGCAAATTTCCCTAGGGAGGAAGTTCCAAAGATTGGGATCAGCTGTGGAAAAGGCCCTTTGCCTAGTTGCCACCCCTATCATCTCCCTGAGGGGTGGTTTTCATAGAAGGACCTCCTGAGCTGATCTAAGGGTGGGTAGGTATATATGGGTGCAGATGGTCCTTTAGATATATTCTTGTATGTTAACACAGTGATTCAGTACCTAACAAAACTCATATTGTTTAGATCATGCACTGAACGGAAATCATTTTAGATGAGGAATTTCCTTTTGAGAAGCAGGATTGCCTACTCAAAATGGCACTTTCACTTGAATTAAAATAGCAACTTTTAAAAATTCAGTTGCCTAATTAGTTTATTGGAAAGATGTTAATAATCTAAATGATTAATTGACTAAACATTATTGTAGAATTGCAGTGTATGGATGTGAGTTACTGCACAGATTTGAAGGGAAAAAGAGGAAGGGTAAGTAGAACCAGGAGAAAGTGTCATTTCCAAAACACTTCAAACATAGGTTTTAACTGTCCTATCTTTTCATCCTACCACAGAGGTTTCATTAGTTAGCAAGCTATCCATGCTCTGTTTAGAGCTTTTTGGGTTTTTAAACAACTCTCCCATCTCCAGTACCCCTCTGTCTGCACATGAGGAAGGGAACATATTTGGAAACAGTTTCTAAAGCCTGAAGTTACTTCATTAAAGTTGGTGTGTCTAACTGGGCTGTGCCTGAATTGGCTGCTTTGAAGGCTCATGAAATCTACCCTGGCCGGTATTAGGTAGAGATTTGGGGATTGCTTAGACAATAAGTTCCTCTATCAAATTGGATGTATGAATGTTCCTTATGGAAAAATATCCAATTCAGTAAAAGCAGAAGTATAGAAATGATTTTTTCTACTTTAATAGAATATAATTTAAATACTGCTATGGTTTTATTAAAAGTTATTAATTCTTTTCATTTTTTGAATTAACTCCTGTGTCCCCCCCCCCCCGAGATGGGCTGTTACTGGTATCAGTGCATTTAGAAGTCTTTACAAATAAATATTAATTAATTTCATATAGATAAATTTATGTATATGTATAATTTATATGCCTGAATAAATGTATTTATGTATATTTTATCTTTATAAAATGTAAGTCGAATTACAGGCAATTTCCCCCCAAATTAATATCTATTTTGGCTATTTTTTTCTAATAGATGCCTCCTCAGTATGGTCCACAAGGTGTAACTAGTTACTGCCAACAGCCATATTACAACCAGCAGCCACAACCTCAGCATCTGCCACCACAGGCCCAATATCTGTCACAGGCCCAGCAGAGGTACCAGACACAGCAGGTAAGTCCAGATCATGCTGGTTAAATTTTAAATGTAAAAGAAGGTATACTGGAGCTATTCATTCTATTCCTTTACTCAACTTTTCCAGCTATCTTCTTTTAGATTATGCCACCTGCTGTGGCTTGATTTTTATCAGGAGTGAAACATTTTAGGATTGAAATTTGTGTCCTGGCCTTCCTTATAGCTTGATAAAATTGTCAGTATATATTCTAATTATTCTCCTCCATCATACTGATGATTTAAAAATATAGAAATATTATTTTGGTATGTATTTGCTTTTCTGCATGGATAATTCATTTCAATTGCATTATCGGACACCACTGAAGGATGGTAAATGATCAGGTGCTTATTACTTTATTTACAACTGAATCTAAAAGTGGTTACATGTATTTTGTGATCTGCAATGATTTGAAGTTAGAAAGAGAGAAAAGAGTGTATAAGTGTCAGACAATCAATGAAAACATCTCTGTTTGAACATAGCACCTGATTCGAATACTTAAGAATCATTCCTTGCATATCTGAGAGATTACTGTAGAATTTAGAATATTAGCTTTTTGAAGTATGCACAGTCCAATGTGTTTAAGTCAATATTGTTTATCAACTAAAATGCATTTATAGTACTGACTTAAAGCAGAAGTTATATCCACTTAGGGTTTTCAGACCAAACATTTAGTAAAATGGATATTAATATGAGAACATTTAAATATACAAGCAAAAAGAAGGAAAATGCCCTTGATCATATTTATACAGTAACTAAGTAGCACTTGAAGTTTGCAAACAAGAAATATGCTGTATTGGCAATAGTCCAGGTATGTATTTTGGTAGGTTGAGTTCCAGTATAGTCCCAGGAATAACCACAACCTAGGAACTGTCTGGAAAAAGGAACTATAATACAGGAAAGGTGAAACCAAAATTAATTCACCCAGTATCCTTTTGCTTTCCAGGAAAAAGTGAAGTCCTAAATATCAGGGGCCAATGGTGGCTGTGTCTGTGTGTGTGTGTGTGTGTGTGTGTGTGTGTACATACATATACACACGCACCATTGTGAAACAATATATGATTGGGAAAAAATAACTTTCAAAATTAATAAAAAGGAATGCCAGTGTTTTTGCTTTTAAGAGTTTTTGATATTTTATTATTCTTTTCCCTTGATCAATATAAAGCATTGTTGGCATGATCTGAGCATGCATTTCCTACATGTTTTCAAATCCATTTTTGTAGATATAAAGCTTAGAGCAGAGATAACCAACAAAATGTCTTCTATGAGGGGAATTTTCCATTCATAAAATTGCTACCAAGATGGGCATGACTGGTAACAAAATGCTTACTTTCCAGAAGAAAAGCTAGTGAAACAAAAGAAAAAGTATCTTATCTAAGAACCTCAGTACAAGAGAATGGTGGGTTCTGAGCTCCAAACCACAAAGGCACTCTTTTGAACTCATATAGAGATGTTGGTGGAGCACAGCACCATTTTGTGTGATGGCGCTCACTCAATTTCAGAATTTCAAGTAAAATAAGAATGAAGGACAGGCAGCCTGGAAGATACCAAGGGAGGTATCTATGGAGATATTAATGCTCATGGACATCAATTGATCCTGGACTTAAACTACGTGGTATATTTGTGTGCTTTTTCTGAAAGCAGGGCCAGTATATTTGTGTGAAAGATACCAGGTGAACATCTGTGCAGTTTGCTATGCCACAAATATGTGTTGGCCAGAGGCACGCACACATTATTGCATGGTGGATTTATTGATAGAAGGACATCAGGAAGATTCGGTGTTCATGGTTTTCAAGTGAGTTGTTTAAAGGTGGTGACCATCTCCAGACATCGCTGAACTAGTGTGCAATGCTTTCTGTAATTTAATCTTAGATAGAAATAATGTGTTAATACAAACATTACAGTATGTGTTATTCTAGATAAACATATGGCAGTGCCTTGTACTGTCATAGTATTGCTGTACCTAACTTAGTGTTATCTATTCTGACTTGCAGCAGATCTACAAGGCAGCAAAGCTGTTTTCCCAGGCTTGTTGCCTGAGATCCTGGTAGCTTTATGTTTCATTGTGCTGAATCGTGTTATTATACACTAGCTGTTTTTCTGATAGCATATATAGAATATATATATGTCTCTGTGTGTGTGTGTGTATGAGAGAGAGAGAGAGAGAGAGAGAAAGAGAGAGAGAGAGAGAGAGAGAGATGATGATGATGATGATGATGATGATGATGAAGAATAAACTTTCTAGTAGAATTAGAATCTGTTATATTCCAGTTTGGTGAAGATTAATCAAACCAATGTCCGAGTTAAGGATGGAAGAATGATCTGGCAGATTGGTTGAGAAAGCTATGACAGAAATGTATAAATGATGAGTAAAATTACCCAACTAATTCTTATTTAATTAAGGCTATAGTGGAACCTGCTATGTACAAATATGAAAGAGAAGAAAGATAATTGGCAGAAAATACTGCAGAAATCATGGTTATAGATTTAAACATACATAGACCAGGTTTGCACAGTCATAACAGCCTATCATGGTTTATGAAATCCACAACAGGTTTTGAATATGTAACACCCAGCTGTGGTTTGTTGTGCAAACTCAAGTGTTAGGGGTTCTTGGAAGATAAAACAACAATGGGCTATTCAGTTGTGTAAACCAGCACACATAAGGGGAAGAAACATGTAAGACCTCTATTTTAGCATCGTTTGTGTATAGGCCCCTTCCAACACTAGTATTGTATGATGCTATGATTTATGTATTTACTGAATAAAATCATTATGGAAATTTGCATAATCCTGGTTTATCATGGTAAATTCAGGTAGTCCCCAGGTTACATATGAGGCCTGTTACTCAGAACATCCTTATGTTAAATTTGTATTTAAGTCATATAATGTATATAAAACTATGTGAAACACTGAAGATACACTTCCATATACACTAAAACATCTTAAACACGATACAGCATTTTAATAATAATAATAATAAAATAACTACAAGAATGAGAGAGAGAATCTCTATGTATGTTTGTATGTATGTATGTATGTATGTATGTATGTTTGTGTGTAGATCTACAGTAGAGTTCTTAACACAGTTTAGATAGAAAGATAGAACAAATAGTGAAAAGACTATTAAAGGTTAACACTTCTTGAGCTAACAGTAACTGGATGTTGATGGAGATGGGTCTGCTGTTGGAAAAGATGGACCTGGTGCTGGAGAGTCAGGGTTTGATTGTGCTGCTGGGCAGTGGGTTACCACTGGAGTCACTTTCTCATTCTGACGTCGTTATTCACTGGCGCCACTTTTCTCCTCCTCCTCACCTTTCTCCCCTTCCTTCCTCCCCTTGCTGCCTGGCATTTGGTGCTAGCCAGGGCCCGCTTGCTGCTTAAAGATGAGGCGGGACTTCCAAGTTTGCTTGTTCATGATCACAGGTTGTTCATAACCTGGATGTTCATAACCTGGGGACAATCTGTATTTTCATTGATTTTACATACTGTCTGACATCACTCAGTGACTGTTCTTCCCCCCTCCCCCCCCAAATGTGGAAGGTTTAGGGTCTGCTGATGGAATATTCCTTAGTTCAGTGAAACCTTCCATCAGTAGAATGAGGAGGTGATTTTCTGCAATTTCCTCTTCCCACTGCAGCCCCAGCACTACTTTCTACGCTCTCCCCAGTCACCTGAAGGACACCTTCAGTGGAATGAGAGTAGCTGAATATATCCCTAGGTAATATAAGTTCCCATTTTACTGCAGCTCTAAATATTATATTATGAAAATAAATTGCCTTTGAGGTAAATTGGGTTGCTGATATTCAAAGTGTTGGCTTTGACAGTGAAATATAATGTTGTGTGTTAGTGAGGGATTCATTTTGATTTAGGCAAAGATAATTACTATTACTCTGGTTTGGTTGTTTACTTTTGCATAAACAATTTTGGGGAGTTTGAAATTTAATTTTTCTAAGTAAAAGGGGAACAAAGTGTTGACCTTTACCTCATACTACAATTTGCAAGTATATACAGTGGAGTGTATAAATGTAGATCTTTTAAAATGTCTCTTAATGGCAGCTACCAATTTTTTGGGAACTGCAAACACCATTCTAGTCCTTTGTATAAGAAAATGAAAATATGAATTTGCTTGAATTCAGGAGAGTAAACTTTAGTAACATACAATGACGTATTAGTAGGAAAGATGTACATTTTGCTTACGTACACAAATTATAAAGCTTGATCATATAGTTCTCCAGTATATTTTGTTGCGAGCCGCCCCGAGGCTTTGTTGCGATGGGGGCGGCATAAAAATGTTTTAAATAATAATAAATAAATAATAAATAATGTTAAAATCCAGTAATAAGTAGGTGCTCCTGTTAAAATTTGTGAATATATCTGTACTTATGGAAAGTGGGAAACTTTAAAAAATGTTAAGTCTCTATTCAGGTTGAAATTGAAACTATGAAAAGTGTTTTAAAAAGTTGATGATCATATCACTTAAGTTATTTGCAGACTTTCCTAAAGAGAAATTGTTCCCATTTTCTGTGCTATTGTATATTTTCATATATATTAAAAAACAGTAACATTTTGGACATTTCTGAAACAGCAGCAGGGTTTTTAGTCTTTTGCTCTTACTGGAATTAGGTCAGACTTGTTACAGAGTGCATTGAGCATTGTATGCAATATACACAATGGCCTACAATTTGAAACCATTACAAAACTGTTTAACCTACTGCACTTTTGATTTTTTACATGTGTATAGCTGTAAGCTACAGGAAACAGAATTGTGCTCTACTTTTGGTATGCTGCTTCAAGAAGACATGATGCCTTTATGGCTTTTAAGTGCTCAGATAAAATTTATGCATCTTTTATGACATTCTGCAATTGTTAATTTATGTTCAAAGACCATGCCAAGTAAATACTGTTATTTATTCAATTAATTCAGGAAAATAAAAGTTTTCCAAAACATGTAATGCTGGACTGGACTTGCCCCATCATGAAAAGAAGGGCTCTTTCCATT